CCCCAAAACCCCAAAACCCCAAAACCCCTTTAATTATTCAAATTGTTGAACTTTAGTGTTAGAAAGCGTTACAAATAAACTATTGATGCTCGATTAGGACTAATAGATAGACCTAATCAGCTCTGCCATTTCGTCTCACTTGAGAGGTTTTGAGAAAAATTGATCAAAATGTGTAAGGCTTTTGTTATAATTGAAATCTCCTTCCTTCTGAGACGTCAAACATACAATTTTGTAGTCTTTATCTCCGAGAATTTCACGAATTTTGGATGCAGCCTCTGCTCCATTTATTCCTGGTGGCATATAATAATCCATTATTATTAAAGAGAAGATATTTCAGCAAGGATTTTTGAGCTTTTCCTTTACTGCATTAATAGCCTGTTCGCCACTAAATGCTTTCTCAATGCCAATATTGAATTTGCTCTTGAGCATCATTTCAATTGACAGGATGTTAAAAGGAGAGTCATCTACTACCAAAATTTTTCAGTCACAACTAGGATCAACCTCAAACTTAGACTCCTCAATAACCAACTTTCTCATTGAGCTTGATTTTACAGAATTCGGAATCGAGATTATATCCTTGCTTTCTTCAGTGTTTTGAGGTGAAATCTCTTTTGAGCCTAAAATCATTCTTAATCCTTACTACCAAGTTCTAACATTTTCTTTAAAGGTTTGCTATAGTACATCTTCTCAAACCCAACCAGAGGTCCATTCTGGGCTATAAAGATAAAAATTGCTAAATCCTAACTTACATGAAAACTCTGACAAGACCTCTTGATTCTGCAAACCTGTAAGCAGCATTGAGGTCTTCTCAAATCTTGACTGAGGGATAGATTTTAACAGACTTTCTACTTCCTTTAAAGAATCGAATGGAAGTCTTATTAAGAAAGTAGACCCTTGACCATTAACAGAGTCTCATGAGATATCTCCTCCCAGTTTTTCTGAGATCTCCTTGCTTAGATATAGTCCTAAGCCAAGCCCATTGGTATTCAAGCCAGAGCTGTTATTTCCTGTTTTGAATTTTGTAAAGAGCTTGCTCAATGTTTTATTTGTCCATACCACAACCAGTATCGAAAACTTCAATATGCAAAAACTTATGGAGATAAGACTCTTCACTAAAGTCACTATCACAATCAGAGTTTTGTTGGCTTGTTGGATCAAACCTAACCTTATTTATAGCACTTCGAGTCTTGACCAAAGTGTCTCACAATCCCCTCGATATTACTAGAATATATTAATAATAAATCCTGCATTTCCCAACATGTTAATAAAATTTGAAATTCTGCCACCGAATTTTGTGAATTAAGCTGCTCAAATTTCTACTATAAAGAACTTCCTGGCTGTTGAGACTAAAGAAAACACTAGGGAAGATGCATAAGTAATAAATTGAGCAAGCATCCTAGAGTTTATTGATATTGAGAAATCATTTATTATTACTAATACTACCTCATTCTAAGTAAAATTTGAATAAGAGTATTTCTCTTTTGAGCCTTCTCTAATTACTAACAACTTGTATTACCTCTCCCAAATTTGTCCAGATTAGGATGGTGAACAATGGTCTTGACCATTTGTGGTCTTCTGTTCTTGCCAAGTTCAAGCGGATTAACTCTCATGCTCACCTTTTTAGCATATAAATTAATGGCTATCTTTCCTGTTTGGGTAAATTTAAATGAATTGCCCAGCAAATTTAAAATAATTTGCTTCAGTCTTTTAGGATCTGTCCATATAACTTCTGGAATAGAGGCATCCATGTTTATCTCGAAAACAATTCCCTTCTCTTCTGCTTGGAACACAAAAATATTTTCGATTTCATTAAAGAAATCATGTAAATTCACCTCTTGCTTTTCTATGGGAAATCCTCTATTGTTTTCAAACCTGGTGAAATCTATGAAATCTTCTGTGAGAGATTTAAGTAGCTCAATAGTGCTCTTACAGATAGACATTAGCTTCCTAGCTTCACTCGAATCTTGCACATAATCCCGTAAGGTATCAAGGATAGATATAGCACAGTTAGCTGGAGTCCGCAACTCATGAGTCAGGCAGCCCATAATCACTGACCGAAACTCAACCTGAGATTTAGCCAGGTTCAACTTGTGAATATCAGTGGTTTCCTTCAGCATCAACACTGTCTTAGAGTGATACAAATTCTCTAGCTTATTAAGCGTAACCATAAAGACTCTTTCCTCGCCATCACACAAGACGACTTCCTTCTTGTTCACATCCAGTCACTCATTTTCAAAAATATCAAGAAGAGAAATATTTCTGACTTTTTCTTCCTTCTTAAGCTCAAAAATGATCTTCTTCGGATTCAAAATCCTTGTCAGCATCTGTGAGTGGTGACGGACTTTCTCAAACCTCAAAAGATTTCCAAAGGTTTGAATAAATTTACCATTTCATTTTACAGTGTCTGCATCATCATAGATAATCACAGGATCGTCGGTAAAATCGTAGAATATTTCTGTAAGTGAATTGCTAAGAAAATAATTTTCTTTGTAAATTTCGTAGACTAAGTAGAACAATGAAAAGAAGGTTAGTATCTCCTCAACCTGAATAATCCAGTAATAAGCACAGAGAGAGCATAGGTAGATTGACCAGTAGAATATGAAAAACCCTATCGCTTTTCTATAATCTGGCTCTATTGATTTTATAGATTCCATGGTGAGTAAAAAGCTTATGGTAACACCTAGGCTTAGCCCACGAGGGAACTCTTGATTATTTCCTTATAGTTGCACTGATGCTGGTTAGAACTTTGACGAATGTAATTAGATGCGCCATTAATAATACCGACTTTTTATTTGCAATGTTAGATTTTTCCAATTTCTGGGTGCAAGCCATCATAGCGACATACCCAAAGGTGATTCCGATTGCTGGCCAGCATGTCTCCTCACATATAAACCGGAGGACCAAGAGGACTATCATTAAGAACTTAGACTTCTTAAATATGCTTAATGCATGTGACATATTAGTTTGATGGAACCTCTGATGGTACTTTACCTCTTCCATAATATAATAATTGATAAATAGATCAATTATTTAGATTAAAAAAGGGGTTTTGGGGTTTTGGGGTTTTGGGG